TATATATATATATATATATATATATATATATATATATATATATATATATATATATATATATTTATTTATTTATTTTGTGTAAAGTTATTGCTTACTGGCAAGTTGATGGACTCATTGTTACCCCCATGAGAAAACTAAATGCATTGAAGTTAATTAGAAGTCGGAAATATAGTAGATCGTGTTTTTTATCTCCTCTCCGTGTAGGCAATGCGAACTGGCAAGAACCCCCAGAGCTTGGCAATCGCTTAACAAACCCGTATACAAACAACATATTACAGTTATACCATATAAAAGAAGACCCAGAAGAACGGAACGACATATCAGCGACCAGACCGGATGTGGTCTACAGGATTTTACTCAGATTACAAGCATTAAACAGTACAGCAGTTTTACCCACGCATGTTGACCCTGAGTTTTCGTTGTCTGACCCAGTGAAACACGATATGGCGTGGAGTCCATGGGCGTAGAACGATAGAATAATTTATATCACAAGACAAGAAGATGGGAGACTATGCTATTACGCATGGTTCATTTGCATCATGACGTCATCCGAATATGGACATTTCTCGCCTTCTTTGATTTGTTCGAAGTTTACCTAACTGAATACAGTAGTGTCCGAGTCTAGATGACGTCAGATGTGTGAAGGAAACGTCATCGGTGGTGAAACGCTCAACATAATGGGGGTGTTTCGGTTAACCATAATACACTGCGATCGCTAATGGAGTTCCGGTTTGTGAAAACTCGCGTTTACAGAGACACAAACTAAGATTAATTTCAGTGTTTTTAGCTGTTCTTTGAAACACTCACGAACAAGGGTGAAATTAATCGACAACCTTTTGATTTTTGGATTCAACCACTTTAGATCGCCTTTTTGACAGTTGCATGCATTACAAATCATCGTGGTAAATTCGTTTCGAAATAAAACAGTGAAATAATGACGTCATTGACAATGCTTTTATTTTCAACTGTGAGTTCTAAACACTGCGATAAAGACTTTCCATTTTCGACATTGTAAAATTCTTTTGTTTTTATACCAAGTAAAATCATATTTATAAGAGCTATATAGTTTGTGATTTCATTCTGCTTCTTTCAGTCAGAATTAAAGACAAATAAAATGCAAAAGTAAAGAGAACAAACTATCCTTTTCTGTAATGTTTTTGTGTGATCGGTAATTATGAACATTATTGATAAGTATATGGGGAATACCTTTCGTTATAAATTAATTTCTAATATAAAAAAAAGCGAAAGAATTTCACAATTTCGAAAATGGAAAGACTTTATCGTAGTGTTATTCTACTGTTCCGAGCCAAACAGCGATTTCGTAACTGCTATCTTTATAAATCTTAGTCTTCATAGTGAATGTGAATTGAACAATGTTTATCCGTGCACTGTTAGTAAGCACACAAACTGAGTTTAAATATTTGTAAAACTTTTAGGGAAAACTTGAATTAACTGGGGCAATAACATTTCTTCCAATAACATCTGGTGCAAGAGGAAAGTATCTTTATCAGTAAAACAAACATTGTATTTACTATACTTTTTAGCACGTGTTCTGTTGAATATTTTATTATATGTTACAGATGTGGATTATGGTACGAGGTGTATGCATGTGTGGTATTGCTTTTATCGTATGCGCATGCGCATGTTTTAATTCAATAAAAAAGTGACACCCATCGCAAACGTGACGTCTCTTTGTCAAATGATCTTACTTCACCATTGAGGCAGAGGAGCTTTTATAGAGATGAAACTGCTCATTGGAAACTTCACGAAATATCACATGCTGCAATAGTTCCGATAGTATTTAAGCATTTCATGGTGCAAAATAATATCTAAAATATTGAAAGCGTATTAAACTTAACAAGAACGCACCAACTGACGTCACATTAAAATACCGAACAATCTGCAGTGCCCTGTTACTATCATGGCTAAATTGCAGTCCCTACCCATGGATGTCACCCTCTATTGGCGAGTAGTGGTATAAAATCGACGGAAGAGGGCGCAAATCATAGAATGGCATAACAGCCAGTGATAACATATTGGCGGTAATCTTACGATGTGAACACATATAAACTCAGAGCTTACAGCAGGCGCCGAGATAAACTGAACATGATATCTTCGTATCAATTTATATTGGAATTTTGCAATATCCTTTCGAACATTCGGTGTTTGTTTTGACTAACACCAGAAAATGCTGGGTGGTAAAATCACTTTGCTTTTCCAATTTGTCGCTTTTTTCACGTAACTCATGTATGTGAAATTACGGTTGTAAATGTGGTTGAATGTCATAAGACGTCGTCCATATGCAAATTGCAACTGTGAATAACTTATTATATGATCACAAGTGCAACGTGCTGGTACTTTCAATATGCAAATTTCCAAACTTTAAATGCAAAGTCGTAACAAACACTTATTTTGGCTTCTCTTTTAAAAACAAAAAATAAGCTCTGCTTTTACGTCACAGACGCACAGTTACCAGCACAATCTAGCACATTAACCAATAACACCACGTATAGTCACAGCACAAACTAGCGCATTAACCAATAACTTCAAGCATAGTTACCAGCACAAACTATCACATTAACCAATAACTTCACGCACAATCACTAGAACAAGCTAGCACATTAACAAATAACACCACACACAGTCACCGGCACAAACTAGCACATTAACCAATAACACCAGGTATAGTCACAACACAAACTAGCACATTAACCAATAACTTCAAGCATAGTTACCAGCACAAACTATCACATTAACCAATAACTTCACGCACAATCACTAGCACAAACTAGCACATTAACAAATAACACCACACATAGTCACCGGCACAAACTAGCACATTAACAAATAACACCACACACAGTCACCAGCATAAACTAGCGCAAATAACAAATAACATCTCGCACAGCCACCAACACAAACTAGCAAATTAACCAATATCATCACGCACGGTCACCAGCATAAACCATATAGGGTTTTAATTGGAGTCTAATTAAACTCAATTACAATGCAATACATCGTAGAATTGCGTTTTAATTAAGTTTATCTAAATAAAACTTGAGTATCCCGTGACTAAACATAGAAAAGTTTG